AGAAAGACATAGAAAGAAATAGAAAGAAATAGAAAGACATAGAAAGACATAGAAAGAAATAGAAAGAAAGAAAGACAGAAAGAAAGAAATACATTAACAAACATAGATAAAAAGAAAGGAAAAGAACAGAAAAGAAAGGCTAAAGTCGGGATGAAGAGAAACAATACGTGAAAGATGCAGATAAAAGGAAAATACACTAGGACAAAGGAGAGGCCTAAAAGGTCCTAAAAGTCTAAAGCAAGAAAAGACGACCGAAAAAGGAAAGGGACAGAAAAGTAGGTCCAAAAAGGTCTAAAGAACGACAGAAAGAGAAATGAACGGACAGACACAAGAAAAAAATGAAAAACACGTCTAAAAGTATAACAAAATAAATTTGAAACATATAAAAGAGCAGAACAATGGGAGCATAGGTATTGATGCGGTAAAGTGAAAGGCCTCAAGCCCAGGTCTTGGCCAGGTTGCTGCATTTTTGCAGGTCATTTGCTGCAAGTCACTTCACAGTCAGCGACTGTCGTTTTTGTCACTCCATCTGTGCAAATCAATCCATCTTTCCGTATCTGTATACTTGCAAATAATCCTAACTATTTGAATAGGTGCTCCTTGTGAGATGTTGCCAACATAGCTTTTTGTTGCAGTCGTTTCCCGATTCTAAATGGTCTCACATTCACTGAAAGCGTTTCCAGTGAGTCACTTGGTATAGGCATAAGCACTTCAGTTTCAGAATATTTAAGAAGTGCTTCTCACAAAAAGACATGTTGAAATATGTTCAAGAACCGCAATGTCCCATGCAAAGTTTTAGGATTGACGTTGTCAGAGCTCGAGACATGCGAGCCCTTTGAACCCTGTGATTTGATATTGCTAAATATCTTCATGTAAAGCGCGAAACATGTTTGACAACCTATGAACAGCACTCTGCTTTCTTGTAAGAAGCGCTTCTTATTGCCAAAGGGGTAGTTGCCAAAGCCTAAACTGGAAGTGTTTTTGCCTCTTTGTTGCGAGCACCTTGGAAGGCCTTTGTGAATTCTTGTTCGCCGCAAACCCTGGCTCGGAAGTCAAAGTCTCGTTGCTTGTCGAGCCCCTCTGTGGTCTTGCTGTGCAAACCAGGTCATCAAGGCTGTTCAACATCGGCAATTGTCCTCATTTCCATCATTGGTATGGACTAGGCAGTACTTTTGCCTTGTTTCCCTGTTGCAAGACGATTTAGACCCTTGTGGTGATGTGCTGAGCAGACCTCGAGAGGCACAGTGCTGACACCTGATTGACCCGAAAATCACGTGTTTTGTATAGCGTTTCAGCTTTCCGACTATTGATAAAGATTGTCGCTGGTCAATTGCTGGAAAGGTTGAATTTAACGCTTGAATTGTGTTGAAGATTATGTTGAAAGGAAGGACGACACAGCAAGAAGGATGGAACAGTCTAAGGTGAGGGTCGAAAGAAGAAGAGAACAAGAAAGACAGAAAGAATAACCATGTTTCTTGCGCTTTGGGGGACCTATTCTGATTCGCTTCTTGTTTGCAGGAGTACCTTTCATGCCTTCCATGCTTCAGGCTGGTCACGATCAAAGTCATTTAGTGTTTGAGCTGGTTAGGTCGCAGGAAGGTGTGCCAGGAAGGTGGGCCAGTAAGGTAAGTAGCAAAATGTGCTACTAAGTAGCAGGAAGTTACTACATGCAAGAATGCAGAAGAACCCTTCACATGCTTTAAACAGTTCCAAAACAGTTGTTGCAGAGACCGCAATCTGGTCTTGCACGTTGGTACTCGAAACCGATGAAAGGAAAATACAAAGGTTGGAGGACATCGCTATTAGGAACAAGAAGCTACTAGGGGCTCCTGGCATCGCTACTAGGAGCAAGGACGCTACTA